GAGATAACCAGCGCATGTACCACTCTGGCAAGACAGTGCGCAGGCGGGTGGGGTCTCAGCCAGCATATCAGATGGCCCTGGACATAGAACCTGTGTCTCCCTGGACAGCTGTGACTCCAGTATGACCCCCAGGTTGCACAGCTGGTCCTTCAGTGGTATAGTTACTCCATTCAGGACCAGGAAAAGTACACTAAAGGGGAGGGGTAAAAAGCAGCTCTTTAGGACCACCAGAATTCCTATTGCCTAGTGTCCAAACAACTCACTTATCCATCAGACTCCTGAGGTCACTTGTTGGCTGGAAACACCGCAAGGTGGAAGCAGCCAGGCTGACTCATCTCAAAGAAATTGATAAGGTACCTAAACATTTTGCTTCGTAACTTTCTTCTTAGGACACACAAACTCTATCTCTGTAATGAAAACTCAGAGTCTGGGGGCCTTTCTGGCTGTGGGTCCAGTACATCAGGACCCGCTGCTCTAGCTTCTCATATAGCCCTGGTCCTAACCACAGGCTTAGCCTAAAGGACATAAGGAGAGGAGAGGGCATAAAGTTAGACTATTAGGATAGCAGAAAGAACTGGTCACATGAAGCTGATTAGAACTTTTAATAGATAGGCACTTGTATTATCAGCTGGGAGAGGATTCTGTTGAATGGAACATTCTTATACATATGTTATCAAATATTATCAAAGATTGCTGCATTCCCTGCTGGCTAGTCTGCTACCGCCAGGAGTGTGACACCTGTGTTGAAATAAAACTCAGTTGCCTATCTCGCCAGCTTCTTTGCACAGAATATGGGGTATGGCCAACCTGTCTCCTCTCAGGCAGCAAAAAGTCCCTGCACAGTTATCCCGATGTGGCTCTCCTCCTGCAGTGGAAATTTAAGTTTCTTCCTAGTGTGGAGGCTTGATTGGTTAATTAGTACTGCTACGGGGGGGGGGGGAGCAGAGTTTAAAAATAAGGAAACCTGGACCCATTTCAGGACAGCTGGTGAATGATTTATAAATCTACAAATAAGGAAGTGGCTGAGAAGAGGAGGGGGGAGGAACAGGCAAGCTCTTTGATCCACAGAAAATCACAAGCGGTTCCAAGGGTCTGATATGATAGTTAAGAGTCTGGCTCTCCCCATTTATGTGAATATGAAGTTAGTGTGTTGATTAAAAAAAAAGGAGGAATGGAGGCATAAATACATTTATGGAAGAATGGAAAGGTTAACTGAGGGAGTTGCATGTTATATTTGTGGCAAAATAATAAAACAGTTTGCACAAGGCTGCAGCTGCTCTTTTATTTCTCATTTTTGTTTTGACTTTCAGTTTTGTCCTGCATTTTCTGGTGGTGGGGGAGGGAATAACTATCCGGCCAATGTGTTGGACCTGATTTAAATATACAAGTATTTAGCATGCATGGTTTTTATTCTTTAAGTCTCAGTCATGGCAAGGGGAATAAAATCAGAACTTGGACCATGGCTCAGGGAAGGCTTTTTAACCATTTCCCCACACTCTCTGAAAGATAATCCTGCCCCACGGTGCTATTCTATACTTGTTCATCTTGCATTTTAAAGATATGGCAAGAAAGGTTGGAAACCGTATGCAAGATTCCATAAATTCCATATGAATTTAGCTTCCACATTTGACATTAGTGTTGTTCACTTATTTTGTTTTGTGTGCCTGAGACTCCTGCCAGTCTTAATAATATTAATAATGTCTCCCGAATGACCATTAGTTACCTCACACTTATTCCAATATCTCCAGATAGCACCTGTACCAATATTGTGATAATGTGCACATTTAACTGAATAGATTAAAAAGCAGAGCATCCATCCATTAAAAACTTAATTGATGGGCGGTCATAGTGGCAGTGCACCAAGACTAAATAAAACTATGCACAATAACGAGATGAAATGTAATATACATATCTTTTGCACACTAAATGTGATGAAACTTTTGTTTTTCTAAAAGGGGGAAGATTGTGTGTGTTCTAACAAAAAGGAACACTAGGGGGCACCAGACATCTCCCTAGAATCTCAACATCCCTATTTCAGGTACGTTTATTTCCTCAATACTGTATTTTGTTTACATAGATCTCTCCACTCACCACTGTGTTTTAAGAAGAGCATTGGTATGGTCTGGGGTGTTGCACCTGGACCCAGAACAGTTCAAATTCCTGCTCGTCCATTATTACCATTAGCAAGATACATCTTAGGCTTAGTTCCCGCATTATGGAACAGAGAAAATGTTGTAAATCTCCCTTAAATGGTTTTGATGCTAATGTTGGTAAACGACTTTCCCCACTATGCAGATATGGACAGGATAGGTTCTTACTGGCTGGTGTCAGCAATGACAAGGACCAGGTTTATCCCCCACCTAATTAGTGGTGTCCCAAAATGTATCCCTTTTAGAAGAACATTGAACTGCGGATCAACCTGAGTTTTGTAGATTCTCCTACCTAGGCAAACATGTCCCATTCATTCTTATGGGATAGTTATAAATCGCTACACTTGAAGATGGGAGAACCTGCAATTGGGAAATCAGAGTCCGACAGATCACCTGTTTGCAGGTGTTTAATGGGTAGGGGCGCAGGTGGTGCTGTGGTCTAAACCACTGAGCCTAGGGCTTACCAATCGGAAGGTCCCAGACGGCGTTTCCGTGCACTGCTCTGGTTTCGCCAGAAGCGGCTTAGTCATGCTGGCCACATGACCCGGGAAAACTGTCTGTGGACAAACGTTGGCTCCCCTGGCCAGTAAAGTGAGATGAGCGCTGCAACCCAAGTTGTTCACAACTGGACTTAACTGTCAGGGATCCTTTACCTTTCAATGGGTGGTTAGGAGAGCTGTAGGGACACGATCAGAAGGTTGGTGGTTCGAATCCCCACAATGGGGCGAGCTCCCGTTGCTCCCTGCCTCTGCCAACCTAGCAGTTCGAAAGCATGTCAAAGTGCAAGTAGATAAATAGGTACCACTCCGGCGGGAAGGTAAACAGCATTTCTGTGCGCTGCTCTGGTTCGCCAGAAGCGGCTTAGTCATGCTGGCCACATGACCCGGAAGCTGTACGCTGGCTCCCTTGGCCAGTAAAGCGAGAGGACTGCCGCAACCCCAGAGGTCACAACTGTACCTAATGGTCAGGGGTCCCTTTACCTAGGAGAGCTGTGCTATTCCACAAGGCAGGGGAAGGTTTGGACCAGTTTTCCTTCTAGATGGGCTGCCTTCCCAGGGGATGAGCCCCATCTGCCCCCCACTTCCCTCTACAGCACACGCAGAAAGCACTTTCTTAACCACTGGACTCACTATTGGTCTTGTCCAACCTGCCAGAGCTTGTCTTCACATGAAAAGGAAGTCCCTAAGCCACCAAAGGTTTTAGATAACATTGGCTACCCTCACCTGGTTTAGCCAGCCGGTCAGTCATTCCTGCGGTGGGGCTGTTTCTAAGAGCCACAGGTGAGAGCCAAGTGCAGTGGTGACCAAAGGTGGACATACTACTCCAGCAGAACAGTGTCCCCCCGCCAGTCACTACCCCTGCCCTAGCACCCCAACTCTCAAGTGCATGAAAAAACTTGTGTATTCATTAGGCACTGCCCCAATTACTTAGGAAGCCAAAACATCCTTGCCTGACACCGAAATGAAAAAGTTGGCACCAGATAGATCTCCCTGGGGAAAGTGTTTGAGAGATGGAGAAGCTACTGAAGAAAAAGCCCACCCCCCTTGGAATTGATATGCAGGGGAGCCTCCGGTAACGATCTCAGGCTCTGGGGCAGGTTCATATGCAGAAAAGGGACAAGCCGTGGGGGTGATAATGAATTGGCACTCTGCATGTGTCAAGCTTCAGAAGACCTAGCGTGAAAGTGTAAGAATCAGAGAAACTCTGAAGTAGAAAGGGTTTGGTGGCTGCATTCTTTTTGAAATTGCTGGGCTTGATCCTAAGAAGTTACAACTTGCTGCACTCCATAAAACATTTTTTTATGCACGGGCCAACACCTATTTCTAATTAAGCAAAACCGGTTATGAGACAATGGTTATAAAATGATTTTTTAAAAAAATAATTGTATTTTCAGTTTCTACTTTTTTCCCTTGGTCATTTTGTGCATGTGAGGAAGAAATACAAGAATAGATTGGGCACTTTTTTCCCAGAGGGGAAATGGTTCAACCCAGAGTGATTTCTTAAAATAATCGTTGTAGTGGCTTAAACTGCAAGTTCGTAGTTTGTTATGTAAGAATCCACTTCCTGAGCAGCAAGAGGCCTATTAATATTGTTTTGCATTTCCTGGGGCCGGGCTTCTCCGTTTGCTTATTAGATGCAAAAAAGGCACAGAACTCTCTATACAAAGCTCTCCCATTCCCCACTCGTTTTTAAAAGAAACCTGAGACTCTGAAATGCAGTGTTGGGGAACAAGGACCTCAGTTCCACTCATCTGTGAACATTAGCCATGTAGTCTGGGGGTGGTGGGAGTGCAACAGTTTTTGGGTCACAGGTACGTTATCACTTATTTCTTCCTCTTTATACCTTCCAGCAGGGGAGAAGAGCAAATGAAGACAGGTACAGTAGGGAAGCAGTGGCACAACCCTTTCTCAAAGCTCAGGAGCTAAAGAAACAGTGGGTAACCTTTTGCAAATGTCAACTCGGCCACTTCGTGTGATCCACTTGGTTTATTTTATGCCAGTGCTGCTACACTGAGCAATGCCACAATGTGTTGAATAGCTGTGGGGCTGTATTAAAAGATGAGCAAACTGCTGTTCCTGTCGAATTCAGTTTGTGCTTTGTGTTTACTTTTTTAACAAGACGGTGCCCTTAACCAGTAGAGGGCCCCATCTGTTTGCATAGGGATGTGCCAAGGAAGTTCTGAAATGCCTTTCCAGCTGCAGTTTCCACATAGCCCTTGAAAAATCAGATTAGAGGCACAAAAGCAAAGCAGAACAATAGGCATTCCTGTCAGCCGCTGCTGTGAACAGGATGTCTTGGGAGCTCGTGTGAGCTGTTTCAAAGTCCTTAGTAAATAGCCAGACACATAGACAGCATTTATTCAGTTTTATTGCAGGAAGGAGAGTGTATTTCTAACATCTTTCATTCCAGTACTAAGTCTGTTATTATATACTGGCAGGCAATACTTGAAGGCGTAGCAGCTCTAGAGGACAGGGTTCCTGGATTTTCATTACTGTCTAGGAGGAATATCATCAGGTCTCAGCCTATGGTAGCCTATCGCCAGAACCATTTATTTGTGAAAATACAGGAAAACAAAGCTGGAAAACAAAACTTCAGTTTGACTTACCATTTATCACCCCGTAAGAAGGCAAGTTTTGTGGTTTTTCTAACTTCCTGTTTACAAAACTCTTCACATTAACTTGTCTGCTAGGAAACCGCTGCCGTGTTCTAGAGGGCAAATGCAGGATACCCGGGGTGTTAGCCAGACCTTACTGCATAAAATGGGAGTGCTTGCCCTTTCTCATTTATTGATGAACAGTTCAAAAGTCCGTGAAGAATAAAAATTCTTATTTGCACTATTAAGGGGTTATTCACCCATGCACATATATCACTTGATGACTTGCAGCAGGCTACGTATGTTGATCTTTAGGTGAGTAAAGCTCTGCCTGGAACTTTCACAGATGCAGGTCATTGCTTGATGTTGCGGTCAAGTTCAGATATGAACCAAGGCTTGGCAAGACTAACAGGTGTAAATTCCGCTCTCTGTCCTATTTGCCACCATGCCAGAGCAAGCAGGACTGCTTTGTCCCACAGCCTCCAGAAGTGGAACACAGAGAGGCATAAGTTGGGAGAAGCCAGTTTCACTTTATGTTCAGTCTCGGTGTTCTTCGGCTATGCAAGCCAGCAATAAAGAAAGATTGGGGGGGGGTGTCTGTAAGAGATGGAATTTAAAATGGAAAGTTTCTTTGACAAGTTCAAGTTGCTGCCTTCAAGAGCTCTGAGAAGTATGGGAGGGTAAGGAAGAGTTAAAAGTCTGCCTTGAGCTCACCCAGCGAGTTGAAAGCTGGACAGGGATTGAAATCCTTCCTCCCTGGTCCAAGGCCAAAACTCTTATCAACTCCCCAACACCAGTGTTTTGAAGTCTAGACATAGTTGAGAAAAACTCCCACCTCATTGTGGTAATTAAATTTAAGCAAAAGATAAGGAAATTGAGATTACTACAGCCTTGTCCAGGAGCAACAACAGCGGTAGCACAAGTAGTGGTTTGCTCTTGCTAAAAGTCTCAGCTTTTGTTTACAGTATTTGCCTGCTTAGCTGCACAGGAAAAAAATATCTTAGCAACAGGAAAATCAACTTCTACCTCTCTGTGGTCTTTTCTTTCTTCGTTTCTGTATCTTATTGTGTTATTGCTTCTCTCACTTGCTTTTAAACTCGTACTTTCTTTAGAATGGCTGGGTGCATTTTAGAGCCGTCAACCACGTAAAGACCTTTGGGCCTGCATTCGTTAACTTGCCTTGTTCTTTTAGCAGGACAACAGCTTCTTCAAGCCTTCTAATACCTGGAGAACTTGAAGCCTGCCTTTCGGAACAAATCACGTGTTCCTCTCCTTCTGCTGCATATAAAAGGAGAATACAGCTTACTCCAGTGGGAGAAAGGGGACCGTGGATTAATGGACAGGACCTTGCACAACTCTTCCTAGTAGAGCTTGCCCAAGTTTCATCTTCGTATGCACAACATATGTACCAATGTAGGCATGCAGGCAGCCGTTTTAGCTGCATGTATAGCCATTTTTTTTAATTTTTTGAGATATGGGTTTTCTGGTATATCAGAGTTACACAATATAGTTTAATAAATAATAATAATAATAATAATAATAATAATAATAATAGTATGTGTCACGCCTGCCCCCCACCCACTCACGAAGGGGCACCTCACCAAAGTAGCAGCCAATATAGTGTTAGATGGCACCCAGCAAAACACAAGAACCCACCCCACACAATTCACTTCAGTATGCCCACAGTTGAGCCATATACAACTGTATGTGTGCCCCCCCATACTGTTCAGAGCAGGAAAATCCACATTAAATTGGAGGAGGGGTGAAGGCTGCCAGTTGGATGAGGGCATCATGTTGACGATGCAAAAAACAAACAAACATGCACACATGGGATGCAATGAAACCAATTTAAACTGCTGTGTGTACAGTTTTGACAGCCATTTGCCCAAGGTCACCAGTTGGGCTTGAAGAAGAGAGATTTGAACCTGGTATTCAAATCTAAAAGCTGCCACTGAAAAGAGCAACAAAACCTGAGGCTACTTTGGTTAATACACAGGCATCTAGAATGTAGCTTAAGGGCTGAAGAAATCCTCCTTTTACCAGAAATGAAATCCACATTGTTCTACTTTCAAGTCTGCGAAGACAGCTGTAATAGAGAAGATGAAAGAGGGAGATGTCCTTCTGCGCTTTCAATGGGACAGGGCGAAATTAAACAAGTGTAGCTTTGCAACCACACTGATTGAGGTGAAAAGGCAATGTGCACCTCTTATGTTTCTTCTACCTCCAGCCATTAGGGTGAGGGGGAAATTGCAGCCCTTTAGAAAAAGGGGGGGGACAGATGCTTTTGTACGGCTGCAAACACTACATTGGCAAATTTTCTTCATCACAGTTTTCCCTCCAGTGAAGTTGTGTGAGTGGCACAGCTAGAGAAGGGTAAGAAGCTGTGACAGGAGGCTGCCCGTCACTCAGCCTATGTACTGAAAAGGCTCCAAAGATGTAACAGGAAGCACAGCAATCTTGAAACTAGGCTGCCACCTAATTGTTTCCTGATGGCGGGAGGGGGAGAACATCTCTCAAAAGGAAATTCCCTCCTCAACCCCTGCTGCTAACATTCCTCTATGCCAAACAAGATTTCCATCTCTATGAACCCAGTATCAGTTTCAGCAAATCCAACAAAGGAGTCTCAATCACACCACCACGGCCCCCATTTCTGTAATGAAACTCCAGTTCTAAAGCAGATACAGGGGCTTCCTGTTTGTTCCCAGACCCAATTCAAGGTGCTCATCTTTTTGTGTAAAGCCCTAAACAACTCATGCCTTCTTAGTCCTTCTGGTAGTACCCACCACCTTCACAGAAGGGAGAAGTAAAAACACACACACATTTAAATAGGATACATGTCCATGCTCCCAATTGCCAATTATGGATGGAAATAAAGCAAAGACATAAATATAGCTAGTTACAAAAATTACCACCAAATATATTCTATGACAACCATACACATGCTTCCTAGAGCAGCCGCCATGTTGGTGGGAGCAGCATGAAGGGAGGCTGGACAAGGGGAGAAAGTCATTCCCCTCTCACCTGCCCTTGGAGGGGGGCAGGAACGCAACCTCCACACCGATTGGGGGTTGCCTGTACACCAAGGTATCGTTCCATCAGTATTCATGGTGCTTTAACACTTATAAAGGGTGAAATGTTCCTGCCCAAGGCCCTTGCAATCTCAAATTTAATCTTTTTTTTTTGGGGGGGAGGAGGCAGAGGAAAGGAAGGACGTAGAGGCAGGGCAAGAGCAATTGTTAGTTCCATGTGCTTAGGCTTGACTGCAATAGGGCAGGGGAACTGGGCTGTTGAATCAAAGGCTTTGTGGGAAAGATAGGCTCTGAAAGTAGCAAGGGAGATGGAATCGTACAAGTATTCCAGAAGGCAGTGCCAAGCTCACATGGAAGAGAACTCTTCCAACCAGGTGTAAATGTTTGTCACAAGAATGTCCAGAAGGAAAACACAAGTAGGGACAAAACTAGCAAGTCATTTAGTGTTCTGCACTTGGGGGCATTTCTACAAGTTGGAACTAGTGGATGATATGGGAGAGGCTCATGTTTTCTTCACACTTTGTAATGGCAGGGCCTATTCACCATACACACCCTGCAACTGCAGGCAATTCAAACTTAGCTTGATGTAGCAAAATGAATCTGTTGAAATCCTGCATTTTTGCACACTGATTAAGGTGGTGCAGAACAGAAGTACACTGTTTATTTACAGTGGTTCACATAAGCAGGCCAGCTACTGATCCCCCCCCATGCAATCTCTAACATATAGTGGTGCAGTTAGGTAATTTTAGATTCTGAAATTAAACATTGTTAAGGAGTGAGTTCAACTTTTCTCCACTATCTATCCTTGAAAGCACATTGTTCTTGGGAGTAGAACTCCAATTTTGTTTCATTCCACCTTATCTCCACCATAAATATAAAGGTAAAGGTACCCCTGACTGTTAGGTCCAGGCACGGACGACTCTGGGGTTGTGGCGCTCATCTCGCTCTATAGGCCAAGGGAGCCGGCATTTGTCTGCACACAGCTTCCAGGTCATGTGGCCAGCCATGACTAAGCTGCTTCTGGTGAGCCAGAGCCAGCGCACGCAAAACGCCGTTCACAGAAACCAAAACAGTGCAGGCCTTGTGGTCTCAGCAACTCTTCCCACTAGGTCTTGCTCCAGTGAGGCAGTTGCAAGGACTGAAGGTCCCTGCCTTCCCAACGTGCTCCTAAGGCTCCTTCCTCTCCAGGGTTTTTTCCCCAATAACTGCATCGGCACACCAACCAATGCTCTGCTCTGCTCTTTTTCATTCTCCCTGTGTTCTTAGGACATTGTTCCGCCAAACCTTGGGCTCCAGCTGTTTTTGGACTACAACTCCATCATCCCTCGCTAGCAAGACCAGTGGTCAAAGGATGATGGGAATTGTAGTCCAAAAACAGCTGGAGGCCCAAGGTTGGGGAACACTGTTCTTAGGAGACGGGGGGGGGGCGGGGACTGGTCGCAGAAGGGGGACACTCCCTGGATTCTTCAGCAGCGTCTCTCAACTGTCTCTTGGTCAACCTCCTCTCCATACTCTGCATCTGAACTGCTCTCTGCCGCAGCCTCTTCCTTCTCACTAAACCCTGTTGCCTATTTTGCTTCCAACACCTCCTCCTCCCCCCAGTCTGCTCCCTCTGACCACTCATTGTCATTGTCCCACCACCGCACCCCTAGCTCTTGAGCCTTCTCCCTTTGCTGGTTCCCCAGCTGGAGCCTCACACGATTCCTCTCTAAAAACTCCCCATGCTGCACCCCTCACTGGCAGATTCACGCCTTCTTCCAGTCTAGCTGGAATGGGTCCTTGAACTCTGATAATGCCTTTTGTTTACCTGGAGAGAAGGGTGTGGAGAGAGGGGTGTGGAAACTAGCCTGCCTACCGTACAAAGGTAAAATTTGTATTTGCTGCTCTGTGCACATTTGCCTCTAGCTCCACCCACCACACTGGAATGTGACTCTTGGAAAGTTGCCCAGAAGGGAATGTAGCCTTTAGGCTTAAAACGTTTCCCCATCTCTGTTCTAGATCTCTAGAGTAGGGCCATCTATCAATAGCTAAAGCACCTTTTTGGCTGCAAGGAGCAGCACTCTAGGGGCTGAGAAATTCCTGTGGGCTTTCACGGAACGGATTAGGCAATTCGTATAAGGGAGGCATAAGCAAACACTTCCTTACCTAACAAACACTGCATAAAAATGTTGAACAATTACATTGGACTATATTTCTAATGCTTACAGATTATGGGTTACTACCACTTGTGGATCCCCCCCCCCTGCATTACACCACATGAACTATTAAGTTGTATTTTCCCCCTTAACTTTTGTTTTAAAATGTTTTTTGTTTCAACGAAACAGAAAGCCTAGGACACACAAAGGAGGGTTCAAGGTAACATACGGGGCTCCCCCCCCCCCATTTTATCTTAACCACCACGAGAGACAGGTAAGAACAATAACTGGGCCAAGGTCACCCAGTGAGCTTCATGACCATCCAGACCTATGCTGTCGCCTCACAGATTCCTAGTCTGACACACTAAGCATTATACCAAACTGGCTTTCACTAGAAGCAAGGTAGTCCCCAAAGCCTATCCTGTCCTCACAAGGGTATTCAGATTGCCACTCCAAAAGGGGTTTCCAGAAACAAGAAGTTCAAGTTCCCTAACTGATGCCTTCCCAGTTTAGTCATGGGAGCTCTTTCAGGAAAGAGTTGTAGCCTTCAATATGTTGCTGGATGGCAAGTTTTCCAAGCCTGCTTTAAGTCTTTTAGACACCACACGCTTTCACTTTTGCTGCGAGCCCTTGGAGATTAAGTGTGTGAATGCAAATGATATGGTGCCATAGATATCCCTACTTTTTCCCAAGTTCAATTTGAAGGTTTCAGTCTTGCATTATGTAGTGGCTGCACTAGTCTATGATAAACAGCATTTCCTTACCATTATAAATATTTAAAAGCAGCTGTATTGGATCACAACCATCGCCAGGTATCCTCAAGTCCAAATAATTTGGTATTTGGTACTTTTAACAAGAGGACAGATCCATTCTTTAAACAGATAGCAGTACAGTAGTTGTGTTCATGTTTAAGACCAGAATTCTGGCAGTAAGCACTAATGCTAGGTTCCTAACATTATTGCTTACATTTCCCCCTCTCAAAATAAGTTGAACTGGAGCCACAAAATGTTTTGAAGGCCATAATTCAAATACATACATCCAGCATGACCCAGCTTTATCAATTGCTCCCAGCTGCAATCTACTAAACAGTTAGGAATAAACCACAATTTATTGTTTGTGGTTTGAAATGTTAGTTTGTTGGTAGATTGCCATTCAATTTACTTTACAATCGGAGAAGCTGTCTTACAGTGCAACCTTATACGTATCAACCCAGCCCAATCAAGCTGAATGGCACTTGCTCCCAAGTTAAGAGTACAGAATTGCAGTCTTACTTGATTTCATTCTCTTGAAGTAATTCAGGATTGCACTAGCTGGGATACAAGTGATTGAAGTTCAGAGGCTTTGCAAGATGCTGAGAACACCCTCGTGCACTTATGTGATTTCCTTTTCAAACAAGCAGCTTGGGAGCTGCTCAATGCTCTTGTCCCACCATCACCAAGGCTGCCTCGCAATCCAGGTTTGTCACAGTTCTGGATGTCAACCTCCCTATGGAAAGGTGATGCACCGTTATTTGTTCCCCAAAAATTTCAGACTTATGTGCACATCTAATGACGTAAAAAACAGTATCTCAGATTATAAAGTTAACAGGCTATAGTTACTGGCATTGTTTTAGCAACTCCTAAAACCCTGACGTGCAAGCAGCGAGGCCTATAAATGCTTCCAAAGTAGTCTGCTCATCCCTTGTGTTGTCAAGTGGGCCTTACATTTTCCCCTAGCCTTAATAACAGTGACAGAAGTAGCAACATGAAAATTGCTTTTAAACACAAGATAAGCTTAAGACAAGCTTAAGTTAAATAATCCTCCAGTACCAAAAACCTACATCTAACCAAACCTCAGACTCCAATGCTTTTAGAATCCCATTGCCCAAATTTGCATTTTTTTCTCATGTCTTTTTTTTGGGGGGGGGGGGCTTGTTTACATTCTATGGTCTTCCCTGTCAGGGGGGCTCAAACTTGCTTACCGCAGCAAATCTCAGCCTCTATTAAAGGTGATGTTTCCAAGGCTTCCTCACAGTCATGGAGATGCAGAGAGTTTTCTCATTCTTTCCTCAGCTCCCAAATTAGGCAGGAGCCTCAAGGTTTTTTTGGCCCTATCCTGTCTCCGCACCTGCCTCAAAGGGGGGAGGCAGGCAGGCATTCAGGGCACCTGGCAAATACAAAGGAAAGTTAATATTCTTCTCACCATCACCTCTGAGCTTGAGGGCGAAGGTGAAGCAAAAGCTTCTCTGCATTTGCTGGATGCTCCAAGTAGCCACCAAACAGAACCAAAGCTACCCTTCGCTCTTAATCTGCTCCAAGATGGGATTGAAGAAGGGGACAAGGGCTTCTTCTTGCACTGCATGGAATGCCCCACTTTTGAAGCTGCGGGAAAGATTATACACAGTAAAAAAAGTTGGGAGTAAAAAACGGCAAGACATCACAACAGGAACACAACCAGCAGGGAAGAGTTAGCAGAGACTGCTAATCCTCAAAAGTATTTTCAACTGGTATGTAAACATCTTACAAGTATGGCAAATTACCCTGGGGAGGGCATTCCAAAACTAGGACAGGGCTACCGAGAAATCAATTTCATAGTCACCCACCTAACCTCTGTAGGTAAAGGCACATGAAGAGCCTCTCCGAAGCCTTCCTAAAGAAACTTGTCCATCTTATAAGGATCACAGTGCGCACAGGATATTCACATCTGCGGAATAGATTTTCCTGAAAATTCTCCAACACAACATCCAATCTGCTGCCACAATATCTGCATTTTTTCAGTAGGAAGATGTGGTCTATTTCTATTCCAAAAGCATATTCTATGTTCTAAGGTCAGTACTTCACTACATTTGCTTGCCTGGCCATATTTGTTTTCAGTATATTCCTTCCAAACACAGTTCAGTACAAATACAAAAATGTCTTGTCCAAATCAAATGCACTTTTTTTTGAAGCTGTGGTAAACATACAGGCAGCCCAAGTGAACTGTGCTGAGAAGCCACCAGGTGGTTTCTCAATTCAGCTAAATATACCCACATCTTTTAAGGAAGGCGTATCTGAAGAGAGAAAACCAGCTTGAACCTTCTTTCACTCAAAATAGTCAGAAGACAGAATTTGAATACCTAGGTTTTTTTTTTATACTTTCTATATAAGCTGTGACATTCTAGGGTTTAGCTCTAACTCAAGGGTGGCTAACCTGTAGCCCTCCAGAAAGTAACAACTCCCATCATTGGCCATGCTGGCTGGAGATTATGGCTTTGGGAGTCCAACAACATATGGAGAGCCACACGTTCCCCACCCACCGTTCTAAATGTTTGGCTCAAATGCCAATTTCACTTGACTGCCTTTACTTGGAAACAAATAAATTTATACTGGCTTTATTTCAAGTGTTCACGATGAACAACAAGGTGAAGTATGAACAATTTTTGTGGTCCGAGTAACAATTATACTATTCTCTTACCGTCTTTTTACTGCAAACTATGTTACTCACCACCACCAAATTTCCTGTTACATTCACCCACACACAGAAAAGTTGAGCAAACTTATAGCAGTTTTGACAAAATAGACAGTACATCTTGTTTTTGGAAATTCACAATGTCCTTCACAAGAGAAAATTCAATAGTTCTCCTGGGTTCTGGAGCTGGGTTCACTGCATGGAAAGAACTTATTTGCATTAATTACACACTATGTGCCATTCATGGCATGGAAGGAATTGTGCCCACTCAGGGGCACACTGCTGGCCCTTATTGTTGGAACACCAACTTCAGAAAGGTGTTTCCCAAACTACAGCTTCCGCTTTTTGAGTAACTGATTATCCAAATCAGATTGCTTCCTTGCAAGGACAGACACGACTATTTGGAAGAGCATCTTGCAATACCTTTGAAGTACTGCCTGTGGAGGTGAATGCTTATGAGTAACTTGCAAATGTGACATGAATTATTTTGGATGCACTGCAGCATGCTGGATTGTGAAGCACTTCTCTTGCACTTAATTTAGTAACTCTTTCCCCAAAGCATTAGAAAACCAATCAGATGTCTAAAAATTTCATGAACTAGAGATTTGTCCCAAGGCCACCTTGGCGTTGCTCTTGGACACAGATCACACTCAGAGTATGAACAAATCGCCATATCTTTTTGGAAGTCACTTTGTCACTGTGCCGTTTCTCTCCAAAAACCTTGTAGGAAACCCAGAGAAGCAACTCAACTTCTCCCTGCTATTTCACCTATAATTACCAGCTCTCAAAATATCCTGGTATATTACTTTTTCTGAATATGGGCATTTTTGCATAATGGCTAAAGGTTCACCAAGATACCCACCTATCTTGTGGAAATTGAACATCTTGCCTTGATGATCTGGGTGTCCTTGGTTATGGGCTAAGATAAATGGCAATGAAACAGGATGACTGAAGCACATAAACCAATGGTGGTAGTAACACCCTGTGGCTGAAGTCAAGTCCATTATGCAGTTTATCCAAATCTGGATGTTTCCCCCACCCATCAGACACTTCTCAGTCAGGATGTAACTTCCAAGAGTTCCACTTCACCAAATGGGTTTTTTCAGTATGAACGTTCACATGAGCTGTGTCTGTCAGTCTCCACAAAAGCAGTTGTGTATCTTAGAATCAGTATCTTGAGTGAACTGGTTTTGTTCTTGGCTGATGTTTTTGGGTTGTACCTGATGATTCTGTCACACAAACTACGAGTATTCCTTTGATATCTGGCAGAGTTCAAGACTTCTCTGTCTGAAATACTAATCATTTTTGGACTTACTGAAATTCCTCAAGGGTTTCTACTCTTCGTGTAACACTTAAAATAATCATTTCTTATTCAGCTGTACTTCTCCGCTGTACTTGAATTGCTGCCTCTACAAATAAATAATACCATCATTAGCACCTGGTACAAAACAACAGTATTTATGGGAATATGGTGCTTTTAGTTAAACACCTGCCACTTTTCAATACAGTGGCTCCTCCTCCCCAAGCTGGGTATATTGGGATTTTCCATGTGGTTTATTACAGCTATCAAAGGAGCAGATCCTATCATTTTGGCTTTTAATTCTAAGTGAAGAACTAACTTCACTCAACTAGTGGGCAAATTTCAAGATCATGATTGTGCTGATGATGACTATCAAATTTCATGCCAGGTATTACTGTATTTCTGTTGTGTTCACCAAGTCCACAAACAAGCTGAAGTAGTTTTGGTCACCAAGCTAGCAATGAAGGAGAATAAGGTTTATCTAATTATCCAGCTTTGGGATTGATAAACAGTTGAAACTGCCAATAATACCACCTACAACAGACCAATCCAAGTCAAACATTTTTGGGGGGGCACACTGTGCCTGTAACAAACATTAAAAGCAAAAGGTTATAAAATGGTTAGTAATCAAATGGGGGGAGGGTGAAATAATGTCATGCAAGCCACTGTTTGTCTAACACCTGAAGGGAAGCTGGGTTTGACACTGTCAAGGTTGCATCTTCCTGAAACATTAGTCTTCAAATAGATCTACTACAATTTTAAAATCTACCAAAAAAACCCATGTTAAACGTTACTTCCTACAGTGTTTTAAAACTTGTTTTCTGTTTGATACCGTGGAAAAAGAAACAGCACACTTTTTAAGAATTCCCCATTATTGTATGCTATTTGAAAAATTCCCTTCAGAGCTGTAACTAAAGCAGATAACTTTAGCAACAAAATAAAGTTATGTAAGCAACTGGGCTTCACCCTCAGCTATAGCTTATATATTTTAGATTAATATCCCCAAATAGTCCTAACACTGGGGGCAGGGGAAAACAAATGTTCAGGTGTCAGTTTTTAAATGTTACCATTGTAAAACCAAAACAATCCAAGATCCACCTATTGATATTTAGGATTAATAATGCAGTTCAGCAACAAGTACATGCAGCACAACCTAATAATATTTAGGACTAGAAGAATGTAGGTTCTTCTTTTTTTAAGAGCACGCAAGTTCCAAGGGTATTTCCAGCCCTTGCTAATGATTAGTTAGCAGCATTAAAAAAAGTCAGGCTACATCCAGATATGGTCAAATATGTCCAGTCTGACGGGTTAGGAATGTGCCCTGTCACTTTAGGTTGCACCAAGTCATGTGTTTTCTTCAAAAAGAGTGTAGCTAAGAAGGTCTATCCTGTTACATTGAGCCTCTCCTTCACCACCGTCATCCATGGAACCTAAAATGGAGATCAGAAATCTCCCTGCAAGGGGAGGGATACCAGGATCTTCATTAGTTTCACAGAAAGGCAGCTGCTCTACACTAAAACCACCATGCTATCATCGATGACCAACTTCCTCCTTGCATCCCCAACACGGACGACGTGGAGTGTGTCATATTTTCCCTCGCAAGGCGCGGGTGGGTGTCTGGAAATCCGGAAAACACTGAAGGATGGAGTCACTCTGCGCCACCACCAGCTGGCAAGGAGAGAGAGGCCTTAATGCGGGTCGCACAAGCCGGTTAGCAAAGTGGATCCCCACCCGTGGGCAGGATTCCTAACTGCAGGGGGGTCGGACTAGAGGACCCTCGCGACCCCTTCCAACTCTGCCTCGTTTTACAGAACCACAGAACTGCAAACTGAGCCGAGCTACGCGAGCCCACCCTCCCTCGCCAAAAAAAAAAGAGAGAAGTGTTTTACTCCGGAGTCCCAACAGTTCCTCTGCATCTCAGTCCCGGGAACGCAACGGGCTCGCGGTTCGCGTCCCTCCAGTGGCGTAGCGTGGGGGGTGCAGGGGGGGCCGGCCGCAACATCTGGGGGTTAGGGTTAGGGGGCGCAAATCCACAGGTTAGGGGCGATCCACAGGTTAGGGGGCGCAAATTACTTGCCTTGCCCCGGGTGCTGACAACCCACGCTACGCCACTGCGTCCCTCCCCCCCCGCCTTTAAGCCGCCGCGGGCGTCACGCGCTCCGCCTCCCCCCCCCCGCGCGTGGAAAAAAAGGGAGCGAGAACTTTCCCTGGCAGAAGCGGCGGCTGTGGGGGGAGGGGAGGTCCCTGTCAAAACAGTCGACGCCCTTCGAGGGAGGAAGAAAAGACGCTTCGCTGAACAGCTGCTCGACGCGGGCGGGCGGGGGGAGGGGCGTGTATGTGAAAAGAGGAAGGCAACCGCCGCGACCGCACGGAAAGGGACTCCCCCCCCCCTCCCAACATCCCTGTCAGGCCGAAGAGCCACGGACGCCGCCGCCTCCTCCTCCTCAGCCAGCTTGGTCCTCCGCCAAGCCCCACACAAGAATGCAACGCGGTCACATGACCTCCGGCGGACGTGCGGCTCCCTTCCCTCTCCAGGGACACCTCGCGCCATCTTGGACTGACGCAGTTACAGCTGCCGACGAGACGCCGCCGAGCAGCGGACCTTCCTCCGAGCCCCGCCGCCGCCGCCGCCGCCACCCCGGCTCGGTCGAGGGGAGGGCGGGCGGGCGCGGTGGCCCGACCCCCGCTGCCCTTCCGCCCCCTCGGCCCCGCCGTCCCTAGCGCCTCTCCGGAGAAGCCTCTGCCCCCTCTCCTCACCCACCGCGGCCGGTATCATGGCGCCCGTTTTCTCCCTTTGCACCAGCCACCCCCGACAGCTCCCCGAGCCCTGCCCAGCAGCTGCGTCTGCCCCTGCTGCAGGATGATGTCAGCGCCGGCCAATCGGAGCGCGCCTCCGCGGCCCGTCCGCAGAGCTGATTGGCTGCGCGGCGGCCGCCGCTCCCCCCGCCTCCTCCTGACTCAGTGCGCTCTCCGCGGTTCGCTGCGGAGAAACGGCCAAAGACAGGGAGGGGAGGGAGGGAAGAAGGGCAGAGGGAGGAGGAGGGAGGAGAACAACAACCTCGCGGCGCGACAATCACCAACCGCCCCGAGACGGCAGCCGCCATTTCGTATTGCAACAGGCGGAACCCCCAAGCGAGCAGCCCCGCCACGCGTCCTAGAAAGGGAGAGAGAGAGAAATAGATACACATCGGGATTAGACAAGGGGGGTGATAATAATAATAATAATAAAAACAATAAGCACATCCACCATGGTCACAAGACATTTAATCGCCCTCCCTTTCTCACCCCTCTGCATAGCCTGTGCCCCATGGCAGCCGCCTTCTGCGGGGTCCAGTCGGGCAGCCAGACAAGTGCCATTCCCACCTCAGCTGCTTCTTCCTCCTCCTACCGGGAGCGAGCTCCTCTTATCTAAGCCTGTTCCTAACTCCCTCCTCCTGCCACTCGATGGTCTCGGCTCCATCAAGGCAGGGCAAGAGCTGCCAGCCCGGCTTTTATCTGGTGCCCCGAGCTTGCGCACTGAAGGAGGCTCACTCAGCCCCTGGTGGGCGTCGAGCGAAAACCCCAGCCTGCCTGCCTGCCTGCCTTCCCCTCCCTCGCTCGCTCGGCTCCCGCCGGAGGGGCTGCGAGCAGGCGGGCCGGGAAGCGGGCTCCGTGCGCAGGCAGGAGTCGAAGCCGGCGGGTGGCGGGGGGGAAGGAAGGCGCTCGGCACTAACGGGGAGGCCGCCATAAGTGGTTGCCGCGAGCAAAATGGGGGACGGGGACGCGCGGCTACGGGTTGCCCTCTGAGCCGGGACAGGTGTCCCGAGATTTCCAGAGAAGGGCCATTTCCTCCGCTGCAGGAATCGTTTTGAGGAAGCGGATCCGACCCTTCGCTCGCACCTGTCCGAGGGTGAAAACGAGAAAAAGAATCCCTCCGATGAAAGGCTCGTGCGGTCGGACGTCAGGAGTCGCAGCTGCCCGAGACAAGCCTCTCCGCGGCCGCCGAGCTGCAACCCTGAACCCTTGGCCTAGAAAACAAGCGTAGTCGAGCGCGGCTTCCTCCCTGGGCGAACGTACCTGGCCGCCCAAACGCTAAAGGGACACGTTTCTTTCTGCCAGCTGCTGAAAAGGACTAGTTTTCACGTCTGAAGTCCAATGTGCGGCTTATACGCGTGCACAAACCCAGAGCCATGCCAGTGGTCCCGAGACGACACTTTGCACGTTGCTCACCGAGGCCCCGCGAACTAAAGCAGTTTGTTTTGTAGATCCTGAACGTGAACTCTTAAAACATACATAGACGGTCGGGGCTGCGACCCGCCAGCCTTCCTGAGGCAATCCTTCAGGCCGTCACTTGCTTCGGGCAACTTCCTCCTTTCCCTCACCGCCTGTCACAGCTGAAAGCCTTGCCAGGCCGCCCTGAATACGAACCCAAACGGCTCCCCCTGCCCTCGTCCCACCCGGCGCTTCCCCGACCCTCCTTTCCTCCCATTCGCGCTCCCGTCGCCTCGCTTTATTCAGGAAACACACACACGCATTGCAAAAATGGACCCGGCGGCGGGCGGGCGAGGGTGGGTGTCGGGCGGGGGGCGTCTGGCGCTGCCGGGCACCAACGGAACTCCAGCCCACAAGCAAAATGGCGGCTGTTTGGCTTCGCCCTGGTAACCCTGCCCCTGCCAGGCGGGACGGGTGAACCCCGTGCAGCGGGAGGAAGGGGGGGGGAGTGAGGCGACGCCATTTTCCCAGAGAGAGAGAGAGGCAGTGACATAGGAGGGAGCGTAGGCGGCTGCCAGGAGGGAGACGGGAGCAGGAGCAGCAGCAGCAGCGGCGGCCGCGGCAGCAGCAGTGGCAGTTAGGGGGTTTGTGCAGAGGTCCTGAGGCGAAGGCGCTTCTCCCTCGGCCGCCGCGGGACTCTGGTGCAGCCCAGCCGCCTTCCTCGGGGGTTCCCTGCTGCCAGTCAGCCTCTCCCCACCGCCAGCTCCCCACAGGCGGCTGAGGGGCTCCGTCCTGCCCAGGCGAGGGACATCCGCAGTGGGACTGTTGCATTGTTTTGGTTGGGGTAAGAGAGGGGCTCGGTGAAGGGGGTGCTGCTTGCCTGGCCTGTGACCATTACAGGTGAGTCTGCCATTATTATCCTTATTTATGGTGGTTGTCATGCCCCGTGATGGGAGCCTGAGGGGGAAAGGCGGCGGTGGCGGCAGGGGGGGGGGGACACCTTTCAAAAAGAAAGGCTAAAAAGTGGCGGCGCATCTCGTTTCCTCTGGGGTGTGTGTGTGTGTGTATATATCTATATATACGCGTGTATTATATTTTTACTCCGTATGCTCACCTCGCTCCGGTGGGGGTGGACTGGCTTAAAAGGGAGAGGGAGTCGCTCTATCTTGCGAATATGGCGCGTTATTGTAACTGGCGGAGCTGATGGGTGGTGTGTGTGTGTGTGTGTGTTTGGGGGTGGGGGCCCCCGCTATGCCAGCCTCCTGCTAGAAATAAATCTCCCAGAGGTCGCTTAATGCGATGAAAGCGTGCTTTTTTTTTTTGCTTGTGTTGTCTCTCGCTTTAAAGAACAGGCGCGGGGTTTTTTTTGGGGGGCAAAATATTTATGTTATTGGGAGCCGAGGTTCCCGTAAGACGGATTCGGGCGCTATGTCCTTGTTCAACCCACCCGCCCCCCACGGCCACTATTATTTGTTGTGTTTTGTGGTACTAATAGGGCTCATTACGGGCCTAATCTTCCTTTCCACACAGACACACACACACACACACATATATATATATATACACCTCTCTCATTTTATCTTCCATCTTCTCGCTTCCCCGATCCGTGCGGTGTATATAGTAGCAGGCGAACGGCGAACAGTTCCGAAGACTTTGAGGAGCAATTGAAAAGGGGGTGGGGTGGGGGTGGCAGGTGGGGATTTACCCCGGGGTCCCCCCCCTTTTCAAAAACTGGTTGCATAAGGTTATATCTGCCCTCATCTTTGTGTTACCCTCCGTGCCTCCTGGCCAGGGCTGGCGTACCGGGAACGACACATAGGGAACCTCTTTCTTGAAAGGAGTTGGTGGCATAGACCCTGCTGCTGCAGACATGGGGGAGGAGAAAACAAACGGTCCACTGTGTAGTACTAAATAGGGTAGAAGAAACATAATATAGTCCAATTAGAAAGGTCCCGTCCTTCTCGGCACTCAATCATCGAGGAATGCGCGGTGATTAAAAGCCTAGTTAGTGGTTTTCAAATGATGTAGACAACTCTCCGAAATGCTACTCTTATAGTAAACCATATGAATTTAGGGCTGTTTTCCTCCTCCGTATATTTAGATTACCTTTAAAGAGATTAATAGTGGAACACTTTCCCCCCCCCCGGTTAAAAGCATATCTAAAAGAAATCAAAGCAACGCCGGGAAACCTAGGTGACCTACAGAGGAGGTTTGATGACACACGCTATACTTTTAAAGTTACTTTCCATAAAAGTGGAGTAAAAACTGTAATTTCCCTCTTTTGTCCTTTAGAGATTCTAAAAATGGCGGCCTCAGGCTGATGTTGTGGTAATCTAATCAGCTCGGGTCCTCCACACCCCATGCAGTGCATTTGTCTGCAGCACATTTATAGGCTTAATATGCTTAAATGAAAAAAAGACTGCCGTCTTTAAGTCATGAACGAAACGTATCTCCTCTTTGCTACGATTAAAATGCTGTGTTCCAGCTGATTAATTTTATTGGTTATTTGTGTGAAAGGCACAAATCAACGAGACCAGTCTTCCTAGGGGAGGGGATTGATGACGGACTGGTGTAGCTGCTGTGGTCTGTGTGTGTATGTTTGAAGTGAGTTCATATGCATGCCATATTAATCTTTTTAGTTTTGTTTTTAAAATGGTGGACAAGTTCCTCTTGGCCTCTTAATCTAGATTTGTGCTGTAATGTCTAATGCTGGCATGCAACCAGCATTACAATGAGAACATGAAAATAATTTTTATCATGGCACTTCATTTGAGATTGTGATGGCACTATCAAGCCAAATAATTTCTAATCTATTAATAATCTGTTGCTGCTGGACAGATTTTTCCTGTGTTTCTCCCTCCCCCAAGGAATTATACAGACAGATTTAAAACTCCCCCTTCTTCGAGGGGTGGGTGTGTTAAAGGTTACATGTCTTAAATGTGACTTTTCTACATGATTTTTTTGTTATACATTACATGTGAAATGCATATTTCACTGTGAAAAGGGATTATTTGTAAGGTGCTAATTGCCACTGACAAATGAATAGTGATGATGCATTTAAAATACAGTAACTATTGTGCTGTTAAGCCTTCTCCTTTATCTTCCTTCCTCCCCTGCCCCCCTTCCGGGTCTGTTGAATACAGTTGAGAGCAACATGCTTATCTAAAAGTATATGAAAGTTTCACTTAATTATATTTTTAATATTTTTGCAGTTAGAATGACTTGAGGGTCAAGTTGCAACTTTAATATGTTTGTGTAACCTTCTGCAAAATATTATTCAGCAGTGGATTTTCCCTTCAACCCTGGCAACATTAATTTACATATATTAACTTGACTGTCTTGCATAGTTAATAACCTGCTTCTTAGACGTGTAAATGGGGACAAGGTATGCATTACAGGGCTATTCATGTATGCCTTCAGTATGTTGTGAGGCCAAGAACATGTTGGTTTACACATGGTTTAATGTATGGGACTACAATCCTTTATCCATTTAGCAGGGAGTAAGCACCATTGAACTTAATGGGACTTGCAGCTGAGTAAATGTGCATAGGCATATCTAGTCAAAACGTCACTTTAATGATTTTAATATTTTTCATACTGTATATACAGTCTTGTGAACCTGGAAAAAGTTGATCCTTGATTATAAACAGTTTTGCTTAGGTGTTGCATCTTCTCATTTGAATTATAAATTGAATTTTGTGTGCTGAAAAATCAAGGGTGGCATCTAACTAAGTTAGAGTAGAACTTAAATCCATTGATTTAAATGGGTATACTCTGACTATAGAATAGTTAGTTGGATGCCATCCAGATGGTTTGGTTTTATTTACTACTTATGATGGCAATATTTGGTTTCTCCAAAATGGGATTCCAAGAAAACAGAATATTATGTTAATTCAAAACCCACCATTAAAAGAGAATTGAAGCCATTTTAAGGCCTTTGTTCTATGTTGTCTGTAATGTGGAACTGCTAGTAATGTTGCATTCCACTAGTGGGTTCTGAACTGTACGTATCCTTATTATAAGTTTTATTTTGTTCGTTGAGATTTTTAAGCAGAAGGCTCACCTGGTTTAGTGGAGGCACAGTTCTAGCTTCCTGGCTGTCACTCACTGGGGAGGGGCAAGGCAGTGAGCAGATTGCCATGGTGCACTGGCAGAGCCAACTCTGTGCTTCCACTAGTGTTTGATGCAGGATCTCTTTGCCCCTCTCCCTCCCAGCAAGCAGCAGTGACATGTCTTTTGGGAAGCAGCATTGCAGCTCTACCTCAACAAGAAAGGCAGCTCTGCACCCAGCAGAATTTAGGATTGTAGCCTAAATGATTTCGTACTGCAGATTCATTTGTTAGAATCAAAAAGTGAGCTTCAATGGGTCACAAATCTGGAACACAACTCGTATATTTCATCCAGTGAACCATAGTGTACCTTTTGGTACGCTGAGAGTCACAGTAATAGGACTTAATAAAGTGTTACATGGCTTAAATTATTTTTTCCTTATGTGGAAATCTTATGCATCTTTATTCAGATGTAAGTCCAATAGTGGACAGCATAGTGGTGTGGCAGTGCTCACTTGACCTCCTGGCAGCAGAGTCACTTCTGCTTACCAGGAGGAAGAGCGGGAGGGATAATGTGGCTGGGAGGTCAGCACTGTGCAGATGCACAGGTAGAAGAACCATGTTGGCTCCCTGCTGTGTTTGCACCGTGCTGACTTCCCCACCACCTCACCTCTCCCACTCTTGCTTTTGGTAAGTAGCAAATCAGTGATCCAGAGGTCTGGTTATTACATTTTTCAGGAATTACATTCTTCCTTTAAAAGTGCAGCAAGGTCTTTGATCTGAGCTTCTGTTAAATAAACTTTGGT